TCAGCCTTAGCTCATGCGTCTATTCAGGGATAATGATCCTTTCATTAACTGTTGCGGAATGACTTTTAGAAACAGTATCGTTAAGAGGTAATTGTTTCCTCTCTCCACATCCAGTGTTCATTAGATTTGATTTGCTACTTGATTTTTACAAAATGGCCGAAATCCCTTGCCACCCACACAGCTTTAAGCTCAAAAGTCTGAAAAATAGTTGGATAAAAGGGATAGCCACTTGAGGTGTTTGCAGACAGGATTGGAGAACTAAGTTGAATTATTCAATCATAAAACTAGATGGATGTCTAAATCTCTTTACCCAGTAGGAAAACAAAAGCCGGAAAAAATATTTGGGAACTCTTCAGAGAGAACTGTAATGCTATTTGCTGGATAAATATACTTTATTTTCTTCTCCCATTTCTTTCCACAACAAGCTTGCTAAGTTTCTATGGAAAGCACCACACTTTCTCAATTTGGCAAATAATACATTTCATTTTGCCAAGGCAGCCTAAAAGCAATATTTGTACCAAGAAATCCTGGCTCCGGTTCCCAAATCCTCTTCTCCCTAGCCCTACACGCCTCCGCCCCCTCAGTTCACCCCTGTCCTCTCCCAGGACAAGGCCAGCAGGTGCCTCAGGTGAGCGGCCACCACCAAAAGCTCTCTGTGCTGGCATCTCCTTCGCCAGGACGCTAGCCCGACCCTGGACGCTGGCTCGCATCTCGGTCAGAAGCGCTAGATACGTGTTATCAGAAAATAAGGACAAGCACTTTTCCTTAAGGAATAAAAGTTTCCAGGACAAGGGGGGGCAGGTAATTCCCAAAGAGCCTCTCATGAATTCCTCGGGATCTGGAGGGTGCACGCTGGCGAAAGCTTACTGCGAGCTACACGCCATCGTGCACATCTCCGGCTTTCACCCGGCCTGGAGGTTGGTGGGTGGGCCTCCCCGGGCTGCAGGTTTCCCCCTCCCTCCGCCCCGCAGAACTACTTTTCGCTCTCCACACCGCGCTCAGCGGAGGCGTCCGCGCGGGGGCGGCGGGGGCCGGCGGCGGAGGGATCGCGGGTGAGGAGGCTTCCCGAAGTCAGAGGGGAGGAGGCCAAAATAGTCGGCGGGGGAGGGGAAGAGCGGGCTCGCGCTGGACGCCGCCGGGGCCGGGAAGGCAGAACCGGAACCGGAACCCGTGCG